GTGGGCTGGGCCAGCCCAGCACTTTTATTTTCAGAGCACTGTCTGCCTGTCTGTGCTGGGTGGACACTGCCCATTGGTGCTACACCTTCAGCCGTGGCCCTGACACCTTCAGCCTTGGCACACATACCCCGTGGCCTTGCTAAAGGCCAGTGCCATGTGCTGTGGTTTCCTCCTGTGAAGAACTGGTGGGGTCACAGCCACAGCACAAGGGAATCCCCTGGACTGGGTGGCACCTCTGCCTTCTCATAGGGTCAGAGCTTTGGTGCCACTGTGTGCTGTTACTCCTGCCCGTCTCCTCTGTGCCGCCAGCTGGGGACGTGTTTTGTGCCAGGGACACTGGGCATGTCTGTCCCCTCACCACCCCACTCACAGTCTGTCCAGCACCTTGCACCCAGGTGCTGCGGCCTCCCCAGCCCACCACCTCGCCTCTCCCCTCTGTAGGGTGTACAAGAACACTGAGGAGCTGAGGACAAGGATTGCTTCAGGCATCATCGCTCCCCTTGGGGCCCCTGCTGAAAAGGCCAAAAAGGAGCCTGAGAAGAAGGATCCTGACTTGTCCCGGGATTACGACCCCCTCAGGGTCCCTCCCCGGCAGCCAGCAGGCATGAGAGCACCACCCGGGTGAGTAAAGAGCGGGTGGTTGCTGATGTTCCTCTGTTAGATGGGACGTGGTCCTGGCACAGCTCTCCAAACTTGACCTCTAGTCCCCATCTCAGACACATGGGACAGGGAGTGAAGAGGATCCAAACCCTCCCCAGGCAGTTCCAGCCTCGTTGGTTGAATGCCTGCGTTTGATTCAGGTTGCCCACTGAGGGATGGCCTGTTCTGCAGCTGTGTGTTGGTTTGACTCTCCTTTGGCATTCCCTGGGGGTGTGGCTGGAGATCTACAGACCTGCAGGGAGAGAAGAGCCTGCAGGGCTGGGGAGAAGGTGTGGGATGGAAGGAGGGAGGCCCTGCTCTGTCCTGGCTGAGGCACCATCAGGGCTCTGGGGCTGGCAGAGCAGGGACAGCAGTGGGAAGGATGGTGCCATCGTGGGCCCAAGCAGCCTCTGGGAGGGACAGCAGAGCACTGGGTGTTGGATCGAGCTGTGGGTTCCTGCAAAGCTCTGGAGTCTGTGCTCAGGGCAGAGAGGAGGGCATGGGGCATCCTGCCCTCCCAGGATGGTGCATCCAGCCAGGGCTTGGGGCCAGGTCTGGGAGGTGGGGGCTTGGGGGGAACAGAGACCTCTTCTCCTTGCTCTCCTGACCCCGCTTTCCCTTTGAAACCCTTTGCTGGCAAAACTGGGGAGAGGGGACATGTGGCACCCGCTTCACCGTCACTCCCTGGCCCCTTTGTGCTCAGCCACCCCTCCTACGTGGCAGGCAGGCTCCCTCCTCTCTCCCCCCACAAGCTGTAATCCCCTCTGGCTGGAAGTCAGAGACACTGTGGTGGCTCTGCTGTCTCTTGGGTGCTGGCCCTGGCTTCTGCTGTGCGTGCCACCTCTCGCTTCTGTAACCCAAGTGCTGTCTGCTGGTGCTCAGGGCCACTCGGGGTGCGAGGTGCTCCTTGGGGAGGCCTTGGCAGACAGGCTGGAGCTGGGCACGGCTCTGAAACCATGTTATTGGCACATAGTATTGGCAAGGAGATGTGACAGCTGGCTGCAGGCTCACTGCCCCACTGTCCTCACACTTCTGGAAGCAGGACTGTCATTGTGTCTCCAACTGGGACATGCTGGAGAGCCTGGCCTAGCCCAGCACTGCTTGAGGAGCCCCTGGCATGGAAACTCCCAGTGTCTACAGACAGCTCCAGCCTGGAGGAGTGGGAACAGCAGGACCCCCTTCATCTCAGCAAGCTTCCCACAAGCCTGCCACGTACACCGGTGTCCACACCCAGCTGCACCCTGGCGCAGAGAATGCTGCGTGACTGGGGTGACTCCCAATGCCAGCCTGCTCACCCAGGGTCCCCCAGGTCCCAGGGCCCTTTGGGTGCTGCAGTGCTTGCCGTGGGAGAGCACCCATGAGCACAGCACCAACACCCATGAGCACAGCACCAGCACCCACTGCCCTGCGTGCTCACTCCTGCTCATTCCACGTAGCTGGTCTCCCCTTCACTGAACATCTCACTGTGTTCTGTGTTTCAGACCTTCCCCCTTGAACCCCTTTGGTGTTGGTGGGCAAGACCTGGACCCTTTTGGGTGAGTATGGCTGGGAGAAGTCGTGCTTTGTGTGCCCAGGGAGCATCCTCTGCTCTGCCTTTGGGATGTGTGGGGGTGGCTGGGGACCTTCTCTGGAACAGCTGGAGTCCTCCTGGCTCAGGCAACCCACTGAAGTGTCTCTGAGTGTGACTGGTGATGGGACAGTTGCTCAGCACAAATTGCAAGGGACCAGTTGACAGTTGCTAAACCTCAGTATGGTTGTAATACCGTAATAAGATCCCGTCTCTTGCATAGATGATAGGTTGCAATCTGCGTCTGTTTAATAATCAGCTTGTATTCATTTAACATGCTGTAATTCCTTCAGTAAATCAAAGCTGAATACATCGTTAAGTGAATGTAAGCCTCTAATTTAAAACGTTACCAGCTGCCGTGTCTACAGCCCAGCAGTCTGGAGAAGGGGAGGCTTAAAGCTGCGTCCACAGATTCTCGAGTCCTGGTTGTGAGCCTCCCGGCTGTCTGAGGCACTCGAGAGAGAGCCTGGGTAGAAGGAGGGCTGTCTGGAGGACTGATCTTCACAGATACATCTCTTGGTCTTTAGTTTGGTTGAGCAAAGAGAACCTGTCATCTTCCATTCCAGTTAAAAGCACATAGTCAGACAAAAAACAGCTCTTGGAGTCGATGCAGAGTGTCCTGCGGCCCAGGGGAGTCTTCTTTGGAACTGCTCTCCTATGGGGATCACATTTTTTCCCCTCTTGCAAGACTTGGTTCTTCGTGGGTTTGGCTAGAAAAGGACCAGCTAAAAACATCCTGCCTGGCTGGAAGGAGAGGCCTGGAGCATGGGTGGCTGGGGAGGAAACCTGATAGCATGAGGAGAGGGGGTTCAGTTGTGGGGACACCCTATTTCTCCCGCTGCCTCCAGCCCTTCATCAGAAGTTTCTCTGTAAATGACAAAAAAAAGATTGTAAATGGAAGCAGATTTGTGAGCTGACACCTGCCAGCGCTGGGGGCTGGAGACCCAGACTCCCAGGCATATGCTTGTGGGGCCTGGCTGTCCCAGGGCGCTTTGGGCAGCCGGCCTGGCGTAATGGAACTCATTAGCGCGGTTGTTAATGACTTGTATGATGGCAGCGGTGTTCAGAGGCTCCAGCCGAGTTTGCACAAAGCCGACCATGAGGAATGGCACTCGCAGCGTGAGGCAGTTCCGAGGAGTGGGCAGCAAATGACTTCCAGGCAGCTCTTTGGAAAGGCTGGCAGCAGCTCCAGCCGGGCCCACGAGCTCTTGCAACACGGCACAGGGCAGGACGTGGTGCTCACCCGGGAGAGCAGGGAGCAGGGATGGGAGTACAGCGAGGGCCAGCAGGTCTGATGCTTCTCCAGGGGATGGTCAGCAGCCCACCAGGACTCATCAGCCATTGCTGATGCCCTGAATGGCTCCTTGCAGGAATGGGGGGAAGAGGGAAGCTGCCTCTCTGCTGCTCTGAGTGTGGCTTGAGGTGTTGGCTCTGAGGAGAGCAGGCGGGATGGGGCTGTTGCTTCCCTGTGCACGTCTCCAGCCAGGCTTTGGGGTTTGCTGGCACTGTGGTGCCCCAGACCTGGGTGTTTGCTGGTGCCCTGGCTTGGACGTGCACATGCCCAGGACTCCCACCTCAGCACGATGATGAGCTGTGATCACATCCCGCCCCTGACCGTGTGGTGCAGCACGGACAGGTTTGCAGGGCTGTGATAACCCGACGTCGGAGCAGAGTGTGATGCATTTGAGTTCCCTCCTGTGGCAGACAGCAAGGGGCAAGGTTCTGCTGTGCCCCAGGATTCCTACACACACACACGTACACCTGTGAAGGTGTCTGTCTTGTGGCCATGGGCTCACCTCACTGGCTTGCCCCGGCCCACGTT